AAATATCTTTTTTATTCAGTTAAAAATTAAATTTGCTAAAAACTAAGAGAGAAACAAAAGTGAAAATAATATTTGACAAAAAAAAAAAAAAAAAAAACATAGGGTCCCTAACCATTAAAGTGAACCTAATGTTATACTATTGAATCGAAAATAGAAAAATTAAAAGAATATTCGAAATATCTGTTCATACTCATCACTTCACTCTAATATTTTTGTGAATGAATATAGAACTCCTTCCCCCATATTTATAGGCACTCAAATGTCTTTAAAAAATAAGAGAAAGAGGGAGAAATAGAGGGATTATTAACTATAATAAATGATTGAATATCTTCGGTTGATTGAAAAGTACTACAACATGTATGTAGATAATCGTCCTAATCTAAGTTTTTGTCAAAAATATGAAAAATAGAGAGAAATCTCAACCAAATGAAAAGGCAAGGTATATATGCAATTATGCACTTATTTGTGATAAGACTTTTCAAACGGACTCAATTTTTTCAAAATGTATTTTTGAATAGATATAACTTTCTCCCTTGTATGTGAGTTTTTAACATAGGAACGCAAAACCTTTTCTGTAAACATTACTTTCCATATGGACTGTCAATTTCTTTCAAATTATTTTGAAAATTATTCCACACAATTTTGGCTTCATATACCAAAGTGATCTTTGAGATTTTTGAAATTGTTATGTATTTGTCTAAGATCTTTTGTTCTCTTGCTCTCTTGCTGATAGTGAAAAGTCTTGTGATGTCCATTTTGAAGAAAATTTTACGTATTATTTTTCTTACATTAAAATTTTACGTATTATTTTTCTTACATTTTGAGAGAACTGTATTTAAGGTTTTTGTACTACATCAGCAAGTGAATAGTTTTATCCTCTCCAACGTAAGGAAGAGAATAATTTCTTTTGTCTGAGATACTGATATGTGAGAATAGATAGATGGAAGGGTTTTGGATAGGTATGCTAGGACCTTTCTTTAGTATGTCGAAATATCTTTTTTATTCAGTTAAAAATTAAATTTGCTAAAAACTAAGAGAGAAACAAAAGTGAAAATAATATTTGACAAAAAAAAAAAAAAAAAAAACATAGGGTCCCTAACCATTAAAGGGAACCTAATGTTATACTATTGAATCGAAAATAGAAAAATTAAAAGAATATTCGAAATATCTGTTCATACTCATCACTTCACTCTAATATTTTTGTGAATGAATATAGAACTCCTTCCCCCATATTTATAGGCACTCAAATGTCTTTAAAAAATAAGAGAAAGAGGGAGAAATAGAGGGATTATTAACTATAATAAATGATTGAATATCTTCGGTTGATTGAAAAGTACTACAACATGTATGTAGATAATCGTCCTAATCTAAGTTTTTGTCAAAAATATGAAAAATAGAGAGAAATCTCAACCAAATGAAAAGGCAAGGTATATATGCAATTATGCACTTATTTGTGATAAGACTTTTCAAACGGACTCAATTTTTTCAAAATGTATTTTTGAATAGATATAACTTTCTCCCTTGTATGTGAGTTTTTAACATAGGAACGCAAAACCTTTTCTGTAAACATTACTTTCCATATGGACTGTCAATTTCTTTCAAATTATTTTGAAAATTATTCCACACAATTTTGGCTTCATATACCAAAGTGATCTTTGAGATTTTTGAAATTGTTATGTATTTGTCTAAGATCTTTTGTTCTCTTGCTCTCTTGCTGATAGTGAAAAGTCTTGTGATGTCCATTTTGAAGAAAATTTTACGTATTATTTTTCTTACATTAAAATTTTACGTATTATTTTTCTTACATTTTGAGAGAACTGTATTTAAGGTTTTTGTACTACATCAGCAAGTGAATAGTTTTATCCTCTCCAACGTAAGGAAGAGAATAATTTCTTTTGTCTGAGATACTGATATGTGAGAATAGATAGATGGAAGGGTTTTGGATAGGTATGCTAGGACCTTTCTTTAAAAAAAAATTAAAAAAATGCATTAGCAATGTTTAAAAAATTATTATAATTTTTCACTTTACCAAATTTGACATTTTTCTCTTCGGATAATTAAGATTTTGATTTTAAAAAAAGGGCCTAAAGTGCTATATCATCGATTAAGTTGTCGTTTGATAATCATTATTTCAAAAAAAAAAATTTTAACTTATTTGTTTTTAAATACATATCCACACAATAAAATATTATGCACATAAATTTAAAATTTTTTCTACATTTTAACCGTACGTTCTCTATAAAATCATTGCTCAAAACTAAATTTTATCCAAATAATAATTGTCAAATGGGGGCTAAAAGGTATTTCCACTTTGAAATGATTACAATAAATTTTATGATCTCGAGACTATTGAGAACGAGTAGTTCTATGATGCATGACTATCTTTTAAGAATTTTGCTGGTTGTACAACTCTTTCACAAAAGAGGGTGGCCCGCATTCAATAAAAAAATTGCAAACCCCCTCTTCTGGGGGGGAGTTGTAAGCTCGGTGTACGAATAACAAAACCCATCTTTTAACTCTTGAATTATGTTCAAAATCTTTTTTTTTTCTTTTTTTTTCCCAATTTTACTTTCAAAATTATTAAATAATATGTGGTTTGTAATTACGCTCTACATACAATTTTGATTTTCTTATTTCTTAATGGGAATTTGATTGTATTTCTTAATTATTTTTTTCAAATTTAGATCAATTGGATGCTAAAAAATTTTAAATTAGGCAAATAATTATCTCATAACCACAATAATAGTATCATTATCGCTTTTAAAACGTCATTCTTTTTTCTTTTTCTTTTTTTTTCATCCAAAGAAAATTTTAAATTGAACAAATAATTGTCTCATAACCACAATAATAAGTCGTTTCGATCCAATCTATTCTTGTTCTTGGGGTTGAAAAAAAAAAGGATATGTTAGTGACTTAGCACGCATGGCATTGAACTAAATTCGTTGCTATTGATCTACAACTGATGTTTTCAACATTTGCTTGGGTAATTGAGAGAGTTAGAATATCAGTTTCTTGAGTAAATGCCTACCTTTAGGAGAATTTTACAATAGGCTTTTCTCTATACCCTAAGAGTTAGACAAGAAGGCTCCAAGGCAAGCTCACAGCCTCCAACGGATGCTCTTTCAAGTACCACAACTCCTTTTTGATTCAATTACAAGTGGTGGATAGCATAATAGTAAAAAAAAAAAAAAAAAAGGAGGAAGGAAGCCTCATTTTGGCACTCAGGGTGGGTTGACAATCGATATCGGAAGGCATTCTACCCAATAAGGCTTTTGAAACGTCATTCTTCTTTTTGTTCTTTTTTCCTATCCAAAGAAGAAACGTTGAGAACTCAAGACACTTGAAAGATTAAAAGCACGATTTTTTAAGTTTAAAAATAAGTAAATTACTCAATTCAAAAAACAATGCTAAAATTGAAATTAGTGTCATCTATTCCAATAAGTGATGCTAAATAGCATTACTCTAATTTAAATTCATCAATATTAAAATCAATAATAAATTAGGTTATATTTGATTGGTTCAAATTCCATGGAAAATGGAATTCTAATTTCTTTTTCTTCCAATTTTGTTTTTTTGATAGGTTTTGAATTCCATTGAATTTGATTTATTGATTTTCTTGGAACTTGAAATTTTCTTGATTTTCCTTGAACTTCAAGTTCCCTGTTACGGGGGGGGGGGGGGGGGGAGTGGGGTGGGGGGCGGGGGGGGGGGGGGGGGGGGGGGGGGGGGTTTAATGGAAACAAATTCTAAGAAATATTGTACAAAAATATTTCATTTTAGTTGGCAATTTTCATGTAGAACAAAGTCAAACGAACACTAAAAAATAGATGATTTTCTTGATTTTTTATTTTTTATTTTTTTGTTGGCAATGTAAACAAATTTCATTCCCAATACCAGTAAAATCTATCAATTTAATTGACAATTTTTATATAAAATAAAGTCAGACGAACACCAAAAAATACTTTTATTTTAATATTTTTCATGTGAAAAATTATACCAATCAAACACAATAATTTACAATTTTCAGGAAAACAATTTCTAGACAATTCAATTTCATATAATTCGTTTTCAATTCAATTTCAATCTCATCTTTGCAATGAAACGAACCCTTAGGTGAAAATAGGTATTACCTTTTTTTAAATTTTAGCCAAACATTCCCTAGCCATCACTGGCAAAACCACACTGTCGTAAAAGAATAATTGTTGACATTTTTATATTCTTTTAGATTTCATGTTTAACTAAAACTCTAATAATCTTAAAATATCATCTCCACATTTTGGAAAATTATCAAAAAAAAAAAAAAAATAGTAATCAATAAGTTTTAAATTGTATATAATAAAATAAATTTAAAAAAAAAGTCAATTGAAATTAAAGAGTGGAAGAAATTAGACAATAATATTACCATTTCTATATCTCTAATCAGGTTACTTCTAATAAAATTACCGTTTCTAAATCTATGATCATTTAATTTATTTTCACAAAATTCTCTCTATAGACTATATGTTACAAAAAAATTCTAAAATATTATTAATTAATTCCTTCTGTTCCTTACCTTCAATTTACTTTTATTTTAATTTATTTTATTATGTACAGTTTAAAATCTAGTAATTACTTCTTAAAAAAATCTGCTAATTTTCCATAAAATAGATTGTATAATTTCATTTATAGAGTTCATGTTACATTGAAGTTGACGATGATTATAGGGGTTCCTGGTTCATAGAATTCCATTTCATAATAATTGATGTGTAGAATTAATGTGAGAAGGTTTATATTATATGTAACGAGGATGAATATAGTAATCTTTGAGTTCATAGAATTCCATTTTATAATATTTGATGTGTAGAATTAATTATTGAATTGTAAAAAGGTTTATGTGATATTTAAGGAGGATGAATATAGTAATTTTTTAAAATTTCAAAATTATATTAGAAATGTATTGAGAGTGTGACGGATATGTAAAATTTGTGTGGATATATAGTGCTTAAATGAATGAATGTAATAAGAATAAAATTAGAAGGCCACTCGAATCAAAATAGTAATTTTTAAACAATTTTAATATGATAAATATATTCTGTCATGAATATATGAACGTGAACAGCGGCTCCCTAAAAAAACCAATTTAAAATCTAGGATTGAACGAACAGTCTCTCAATCCCATTCTCCGATCAAACACCCTTAAATGTAATCGTAAATAATTTTATAGATAGATATTCCATATATTCTTGCAGATGGGGTTTCAAGAATTTGTGAAAAATTCCATTGACTGGGAGCAAGAATCCTACCCTGAACATAAAGATTTCGCAGCGCTTCCTATTTTCGCCATCTTTTTTCCTACAGTTCGGTTTTTCCTTGACAGATTTGTATTTGAGGTACTTAGTCAGCAAATTTACAGTTTTTGTTTGTTTGTTTTTTTGTTTTGTTTTGTTTTGTTTTGTTTTGTTTTTTTTTTTTTTTTAACTGGGTTTCTTTAATTTATTACTTGTTTTTGTGTGCATAATTGGATCAATCACGCAAGCATAAAGCTGGGGTGTGTTTATTATTTCATTTTCTGCTGAATTTATATGTGAACCGTGAGGGTAAGTTGTGGGTATAATTCGGAAGGCCAGCCAGGGTTGTGTCCTCCGTGGTAAAAGACTGGTTTAGAATCTTATGTTAAAGGGGGAAATGGTTAAAAGGGCTTTAATGCTGAGGCTAGTGATGCTGGTTGACTGTTGAGTGCTCTCGTAGAGAGTTTTCCTCGTCATCTAGCAATTGAACTAGAGAACCTGCTCTTAAAGTAAACTATCTCACCTATGGTCCAACCAATAGAGAGAGTCCATATATTCCCCTCCGCAATTCTTTCTCCCCGAATGGAGTGTACAACTGTGCTCTTTAACATTTCTTTATGAATTAAGGAAATCAGAGTGAAACTGAAGAGTTTGTTTTGAAGAAATGACATCACAAATAGATAGATCAGTCATGAGCTTAAGTTGCATAGGTGGACGTAGTAGAGAATTTCTTATTGCTGTAGGCTTTCATCAGCACTCTGTTTTAACTTTAAGTCCTTATTTTTCAATTTAGCAATCAATGAACTTATAAATATATCCAAAATAAGGTTCCCTGGTGTATGCTATTTGGTGATGACATAGTTTTTAGTAAACAAGACTACAAGGGAGTTAAATCTTAAGTTGAAATTTTGGAGTAATATTCTACAATCTGGAGTAATATTCTACAATCTAGAGGTTTTAGATTAAATAGATCTGAGATGGAATGTCCTTAAAGTAATTTTAGGAATGCGGATAACAGTGGAGTTACTATAGAGGATAATATTATTCCGAAGAGTTATTATTTTAAAAGTAATTAAGTTATAAGAAGGTAGGAAGTATTGAAGAGAATGTAATGCATAGTATTCAAATGACTCAAATGAAATGGAGAGTTACTAGAAATTAACGTGATAGGAAGATCGCTCATAGGCTAACTCTACAAACCATTATGAAACCTGCTATGTTTTATGGTACCAAGTGCTTGATTGTTGCTGAAGGACAAATTGTCCATATGATAAATAGAGAAAATGAAGATATTATGATGAATATATAGAATGAGAATATTCACCTACAATTAGTGGAAGAATGACTTAGTGGTTGGGGGCATGTCTTGTATAAACCTAGAGAAGTTTTTGTTTACGATAATGTTGCGATCTTAATAAAACATGACAGAAAAGGGAGAAGATCAGAGTTAACATGGCATGTTGTGATTGCAAAGATCTAGTTGCATTAGATCTTCTAGTAGAGGTGCTGATGAACTGAATTGATGTAGAAAAATGTTTCATGTATTTTATCCCAAATTCATTTTGGATAATGCTTAATTTGTTGTTTGATGGATAATCAACTTAACACTTGAAGATCGGGTATAATATTGTGCAAATTGTGGATTTCAGTTAAAAGACCCATAAACACGAGATCCTTGGGTAAGAATTAGCAGTTATGCTTATTATTGAGCTTCAAAATATTATTTGGAAATACTCGACTATGTGAATAGTGAGAACTTCGACTAATAAATGTAACCCGTTGTTAAAATGTGGTGCAGCAAATACATTTGCTGTCGAGATGGGGAAGAAATTAGATGAAATTTCATTTTTCACTCACACACAAAAAGCAATACAAGACATTTGCAAAGTTTATCAAAACCAAGTTTTAGTTAAGTGCACAACATCTGACCATAGAGTAATGGTACAAGGAAGCCTTGAAATGGACACATTAAACATAGACTATGAGATGAGAAGTGGTGTAAGAGGCCATTCTGCATTCAAATAGCTATTGTGTTTCAAATTTAATGGTCTTGGGAGTTGGGACTGTGCACCAAATCTAAGCTCATAGTACATATGCACACTTTTCTCATGGATATTTGTTTATGATCATACACTTGTATCATTCCTGCTCTCTGCATCAAGTTTTACCAAGTTAAACTTTTCTGATCATCCCACCCTTCCTTGAAAGAGTTTTTCTCATTTAAATTGGGTGTACATGTTGCAGAAATTGGGCAGACGGATAATATTTGGAAAAGGAATGCAAGTTGTGGAACATGAGACAGCGGAGCGAAGAAAGAAGATACGAAAATTCAAGGAGTCAGCATGGAAATTTGTTTACTATCTTTCAGCTGAGATTTTAGCGCTTCTTGTAACATGCAATGAACCTTGGTTCAGAAACACAAAATACTTTTGGGTTGGGCCCGGAAATCAATCCTGGCCTGACCAGAAATATAAGTAAGATTTTCGATCCCCCCTCTTCTCTTTGATGTAATTTAGATATCATCACAGATTTATTTGTGGATGGGAATGATCAGCCTTGAAGCCTTAACCAGGTGCAGCATTAGCCTTTGTGGTTCTTGTGGTGTCATAAAAACAAGCTTGTAATGCTTGATGCAAATAGTTCTTGAATTCAGGCAGCAACATTCACTGCTTTAGAAATACAAGCTAAACAGCTTTGATTGTAAAAATTCACGACAGCGAATGTCTTGTGGATGCACAGGTTGAAACTGAAAGGCCTGTATATGTATGACGGTGGATTCTACGCATACTCCATATTTGCACTGATATTTTGGGAAACCAGGCGGTCTGACTTTGGGGTTTCTATGGGTCATCATGTTGCAACTTTTATCCTAATCACGCTTTCCTATATATTCAGGTGTGTTTTTTAGAGGCAAGCCCTCATTGTTACTTTAAATACCGAACTCAGCATTCTTCTTGGAAGTATACTGACTGCAGAAAAAGAAATAAATGAGCATTCTATCAATAGAAAGCATAACCGATAGAGTAACCTCTTCAAATATTGTACAATCGAGGTTAATTTTGCAAGCTCATCTTGACAGTAGTTTGGAACTAGCTATTACAATATAACATATCATATAACTGAGGAGAATTGAAAAATGTTTCATTTATGTCCTATTTCTTCATGTTGTAGGTTTGCACGTGTCGGTTCAGTTGTTTTAGCTCTTCATGATGCTAGTGATGTATTTCTGGAAGTAGGAAAGATGTCCAAATACGGTAGTGCAGAAACACTGGCTAGCTTTTCATTTGTTCTTTTTGTCCTGTCTTGGATCCTTCTTCGTCTCATTTACTATCCATTCTGGGTTCTATGGAGCACAAGGTCAGCTGTGGTATTTCTTTTATCAACTATTATTTTCTTTGAAATTTTTGAGGTACCAATATCGATATTTTTCTTAGAGGATGTTTGGTATGCATTTTTATGTAAAAATACGTTTTGAAATAGTAAATTGATGGGAAATGTGTGGTTGAAAAATAAGGAATTTTTTATTTATTTAAGTATAATATTATTTTAATGAAGAATATGTGGTTGAAAAGAAGAGAGAGAAAAATGCATTTTGAAAAAAATGGGTACCAAACGGGGTCTTAGTATATAATTTAATTGAAACTCTTGGTAGGGTAGATCATGGCAGCTTTATGAAAAAAATTGCATTTTACTGCATTAATTTTTTAACAGAATTAAGAACTGTTCACTAGCCGTTGTTGATCCCTTGATCCATCATCCTTGGAGTATCAAATTTATATCGTGCCAAGTTTCTACAGTGTTATATTGTTATGATCCTTAATTAACTGTTTACACCCATAGCTTGCTAATGATGCTAATTAACTTCAATTTTGTTTATGGACTTGGTAGTGTGTTTGTGTGTGTGTTTCTGGTTTGGCGAATGAAAGAGATGGGAAATTATTTAATGTACCTGCAGAAATTATTTTAACATTTCTTGATACTTTTTATGTAATGACTCGACCTCTATGCTCAAGTCGTTATATCATACGTACTGTACGATTTGGACGAGCATTTGCCCACTTACCTCCTCACGGCTTTCTATATTGTCCATCAGAATTTTAACCAAAGACCTCAGTCTAATGAAAGACTTAAGTTGAATCCTGGTGCCAATGCTCACCCAAATATCAGTACGTATGATAAGGTTTAGGCATAGAGGTCGGGTCGTTACAAAAAACGCGCAATTTATTTATTTATTATTATTAATTTTTTTTTGGGGTGTACAAGAACATAGATTTGCTTTGATACCAACTATGACAACCCGAATTTGTAACGATTTGTATGCCACTAAAATTTAAATTAAACTTAATTAAAATGGTTGAAATGAATAAATTAGATTTTTATAAAAATAGTTACAATTCAACATTATTCATAATAAGCTTATTGTTTGACATAAGGAAATCTAAAAATGAATTCAACATAAATTAAATAAAATTTGACAAAACTTCATGAAAATTATTTTAAATATCCCACGATGACATTCATCTCTATATCGACCGCTTCGAAGGAATAATCTTTTGAAAAGGAAAAAAGAATATAATGTGAGATAAAATTTCAATAAGAATCCGTGGGTAACTTTTGTTTTTGTATATGCATTTTCAATAAGAATCTGTGGGTAATTTTTGTTTTTGTATTTGCATTTCATAGAAAATTTCATACTTGCATAGGGGGACATGAAAATTACACCTAACTTAGGTGGGACCAAAGTTCCGTGCGTAGTGCTACTATACTCTAGTCCGTCCTTAAAAATCTTATAAGTAATACGAATCATAACTTAGCATAACCATGAAATAACATATCTATGAATAGTTATGTAATAACGTAATAGCGCACTTACATTTCACCAGATAATTCAAAATGATAAGAAGAAATGATTGTTGAAGAGAGATCTTTGAGCTGCGTGTTGGGATTGACTGTTCACATGTGATTTGTGCAAGTGTATGACTACATCTAATATGAAAGGACAAGATGAAGAGTGTAGGCGAAGAGATGAAGTGATTAAGGGAGAGAGGGTGAGTGTAAATAATTGGTGATGGATGGTTTAGTGTTGGGTTTATCTCCTATCTATAGTATAAATTCTCGGACTATGTGTAAAAAAGTGAAAGGAAATGAGTAGATGTTAAGCATTGTTAATGTATAAATGGTGTATTGTCTTGAAAGTGGTCAAATCAATACCTTTGATCATGTGGTCACATTAATTGACTTGGCTTGAAACTTGGTGAAAGTAATGCACGTGGTCAAATCAATTATTTTTATTTACGTGGTTAGATTAATTATATTAGCTTGAAATGTGGCGTGAATGATGCATGTGGTCAAATAAATCATTTTTAATCATGATTAGTTGGCATATTTACATATATTTTACGCATGATTTATCCAATTTCCAAAATAACTTTTCACTGAGATCCTCAAACTATTGGCCAGTAACCAATAAGGTCATTAGACTAGGCTAATAACCAATAAGATCATTAGACTTTAATAATAGCGACTTAAGTTCTAAATTTAAATCTAACGACTATTAGTAAAAATTGGGGTGGCTGAAAGCTAGCATTTATCATTTTTGGAACATCGTTTATTAACTCGTATAAATATGAATATTCATGATTTCAATAAGTTTATTTAGCAAGGTAACTGAGTTTTAAGAACCTGAGATGATTACTTTTAGATGCATGGATAGCATAGGCACTGCACATTCTTGTAATTAATGACTTTAATCTAGTAGCTCACTCTTGATATTTGATGCTAGACCTTCTTATGGTTTAATGAAATATAGTTGAAACATTCATTTATGTGGACTATACAAACCGATATATTTGCTGTTTTAGATGTATCTACATTAATCACTGCCTGAACGACTAATTGTTCCCCAGCAGTTAACTATGTATCACTTGGAGTTATGCTCTGTTGATTAAATTTGATAAAATAGTAAAATCTTAATGAAAATAAATGCATGAAACTTGCTATCCGTAATTCATTCCCTATATATTCTTCTTTCTTGTCTTGTTCTGCTGTGGTAGCTATGAAGTTATCTTGACCTTGGATAAGGAGAATCACAGAGTGGATGGACCAATCTACTATTACATCTTCAATTTTCTTCTTTTCTCCTTGCTTGTTCTCCATGTCTACTGGTGGGTGCTGATTTATCGGATGCTTGTCAAACAAATCCAAGCTAGAGGCCAAGTCAGTGAAGATGTTCGATCTGGTAAGTAAAGAAACATAATCCAGATGATATATTTGAGGTTTTGCAAATTGAATGTAAATCTAGAACACCTACTATACTTTGCATGGATGCATTGTTCACTGCAAATATTCTGCATTTGATGCTATTATTTGTTTAAATATCCACTAGATGTGCAAATCGTCTTTCAGTGTAAAGGCAAGGAAAATGCAGCAGCTGTTAGTTGTTTTGCATCCGTTTATGATTCCGTTATGAATTTGGCGCTGAATCTGTGGACCTTTATTCTACTTGGTCACTTGGGATATAGTAGAGTTCATGGTGCTATTATATGCACATAAGTCTCTGCTGTTTATCGTAATTGCTTGAAGTCGTTGATGGCCAAGAAGTCAACTTTTTCTTTTGTTCTTCGCCTTGTAGTTTTAAGATATTTAGCCCTTGTTTGGTCCTCGTTATTTTTATAATACATTTCTGTCTCTTAATTTTCAATCACACATTTTTAAATAAAATAATATTACTCCTAAACCCAAAATTTTTGCTTATTTTTTAACCACTTATTCTACATTAAAATACTATTCCAAAATGCATTTTGGGCCAAAAATGGGGCTCAAACATAGGTTTAATTTAATATCCTTGTCCCCGTGCAGATTCTGAAGATGAAGATCAGCATGAAGATTGATATAAAAGGAGATAATTGTCATTGCGTCGTTCACTTGATGGTGAGTAACAAATTGTAAGAATGCATTTACATTGTCCGTAGACAGAACTAAACCATCTAATAACCATATTTAAGCACGAGCTTTTTTAATAGCATTAGACGTACATCTGTACTTGAAAATTCAAGGAAGTTGCAGATAGGGACGGAATCAGAAATTTTGTCCAGTGCGGGCAAAATTTTATCAAGGTCGAACTTTTCGGTCATGGATTTAATGATATTATGACAATGCTCAAAATGACATTGCGACAAAACTAATAGGATGTTCATTTTCTTTCTTATTTTAGGATCAGTAGCAAGTTGTACAACATCAAAATTCATTTTATTCAATATTTCCTCATCAACATTTTTTACGAAATATCTTCTTTTAAAGAATGTCTTCATTGGCACTTCACACAAATAAACCACAAGTGACAATTACATACTAATTGATAAGAAAATAACTACTAATTTTTACAAATTGGTAGATCACCAGAAAATCATTACTAATTGTTTAACTAATTGATAGAAATCAAGATTTCAAGAATTCATCACTCACATAATCAAAATCTCTAATATTAAACAAAAAAATCTCCAATATTAAACAGAAAAATCACATGATCAAGAAAGTTTTTGCTGCAAATTTAAGGTCTCAAGGAAATGTGGGTTTTAGGTAAGAAATGAATTTTGAAAATATTTCAAAATGAGGGCAAATTAAAAGAAAGATTTTAATTTCTTGTCGAGGGGAAAGAGTTAGAAAATGTCATCGTGCACTTGTAGTTGAGGTAAATTAGTATATGGGCTAAACTATAAATAAATGAAAAATCCAATACTTGTATAAAAAATAAAAAAGAGAAAAAAAAATTAGATTGAGAATTCCGGCATTGGACCTTGATTGGCTCCGCCCATGGCTGCAGACATCATGAATTTTTATACTCGTGTACTTTGTTGGGCTCATTGCTCGAATAACTAAGCCCCTGTTTGACAATTATTATTTTCAAACTCTTTTTTTTATATACTCATTTTCAATTAAATATTCACACAATAAAATATATTGCACTTAAGCTCAAAATTTTCTCTACCTTTTAACCGCAAATTTTCCTAAAAATCACCATTCAAAACTCTTTTTTTCCCTCAATAATGGTTTCCAAATTGGGGCTAAGACATGCTTGGTTACAAGCCCCTCATAGCAGGGGAGATGCACATTTTTTTTGATACGGGCCCCCCTTCTTGTGAGGGGCGTGTCAATGCCCGGGAACAAATAACAAAATTCAAATAAGTTTTGCATCTTTCTCATGTATTTTATGCTAGAAAATTTTATTTTGGATTCAAAAAACCTGTCTAAAACAGGATTTGCTTTGTCGAGACCAGTTGAAGAGGTCAGAAGAAGCGGAGAGAAGGTTGATTATTCATTAGGAGTTTATGCTAATCATCATCGTGTTCTGGCCTGTTGGTGTTTTATTTACTACTCCTATGTTGCTAGAAACAGTGTGCCAGCAAAGAAGCATTGGTATGACTGATTAATGGAAGTTGTATTTTTAGTTGTCCTGTAACAGATTTATGTTTCATGGTTTCTAATATTCATAAAAGGTTTATTCTTTATCACCGCAAACACACGGCGGAATAAACCTCGTCCATGCTATTTCCCATGAAAAGTTGTCTATTAGTCACTGAGAGGGCAAAATACTCTTTCCTTAGTGACTGGTTTATCTGTGTTACCACATGATGAGTTGAAATAATTTACTGACTAAAATGAGATTGAGCATTCAATTTTTATACGAATTCGATTTGAATTTGATGAAATTAATGGGAGATAAATTTAGGATCTCAATCTGATAACCCGATCAAGATTAGAATCCAATACTCTGTTAATTAAATGAAGCAAATATGGATATAAGTCAATTCGATCCGATAACAATTCAGTCCGATCTATTATAATAATATAATATATTTTATATATTATTGTATCATTTATTACACATTATTTTTTTTCAACATTCCATGTTGAAGCTTGTGTTATACTTTACACATCATTTTCAAATAATAAACAATATTAGATAATATTATAATATTGTTAATTAAAATATTTGAAGAAATTTAATTTTTTAATAATTAAAATACGATAAAAATAATAATTAATTTATTTTATTAATTCAACGACCAAAGGAGTCAACGGTTGCATTTGCTTTACTTATTCTCAACTTATCACTTTACATATCGGACGCTCATTAGGATATCATAAATTTTACAATCTATAACTAAGTGGGCCAAGAATTGAGTAAAAAGTTATTTAGGTCTTTTAATTCTAGGGCTTAGAAATTGACTAATATAAAATTTTCATCTTTCTAATTTTTTCAATTTCAGATCGAGTATCCGATAACATAGCAAATTGGATATGAATTTAACAATTAAATATCTAGTGGATTATCGAATCAGATTTAGGCAGATCCAATCCATTTATAACCCTACTTGAGGTCTTCCTAACGAACATATCTAGATTGTATAGTTTGGTCATTGATGGCTCAGGTTGGCTAAGTCCATTGATCCGATAAGATAGGATAAGAAATCGAATAAGATGAGCTACGATCGGGTCACAAGATGGTGGTATCACATCTAGATAGTCTTTCTTTAAAAAAAACAAAAAAAAGGGGCTAAATTATTCCTAAATAAAATTGTGCATAGAGAGGAGGTTGGCTAAGTGTGATGTCAATTCAAGCAAAGGAGTCTCGAATCCAACATGTAGGGATGTTGGCCGAGCAACTCGTTAAAACTCTGGTTCGTCAAATGACGAGCCCAAGCACGAGATGGATCCCTCGGCTCATTGAGCTCGGGAGCAACCTACAAGCCAAAAGTCTCGTAAAAATTGTGAAGACAAATTTGAATTTTTTTTTAAAAAAATTGTGGGCTTGGCTCGGCCCACAAGCTCGTATGTCGAGCCAAGCTTGCTCCTTGAGCACGAGTCGAGCAAGTGTGTTTAAGGGCCAAGCCTTTGCCACCTCTAACAACATGGAAACATAGTATTGTTCATTTTACAATTTTAGATAATTGTAGGACAAAGTACGTGCTAAATTCTTGCGTGCATACATGGACAAAAATTAACGGTTTGTTTGAGCATTTTTAGGGCAAATAAATTTTTTAATAGTAATTTTTTTTGAATAATATGTGGTATACGTGCTAAATTCTTGCATGCATACGTGGACAAAAATTAACGGTTTGTTTGAGCATTTTTAGGGCGAATAAATTTTGTAATAGTGATTTTTTTGAATAATATGTGGTTAAAAAAATGAGTTTACTTGTAAAACTATTGTATTGAGAGAACGGGTGATTGAAAATGATCTCAAAAAAAAAAAAAATGCTTTAAAGAATAATGACTAAACAATGGCTAAATGTTGATAGGTTACTTTTATATTACTTGCTATTGCAATTTAAATGTTGTCTTATTCTTCAGCGTGCCTGGTACAAAGACTACTTTAAAGCAAAAATAAAAAATAAGAAATAAGAAAAGAAAGAGGACGGTCTCAGCGAAAGGAGAAGGACCTGCAATGGCAGAGACTACTGACCCTCTTCTTACTTTTAGCCGTATTTTACGAGTCTGGTAAGCCTCCTCAATATGAGGGATCAATTTTAACATTTTATATTAATTTACCAAATTATCATTATTAGATATTGATTATTATATTTTTAGTCAGTTCAATTGTCAAACAATAAATATTATTCTAAATAATTTACAAAGTTAAAATTAGGTTAAAATATGTATTTATAATTATTATTATTTTTTGGTAAAACAATATGATAAGTTAGGAGTACATAACAATAAAATTAAATATTCAAAAACCAATTAAATTCTTCTTCTTCTTTTTTTAAGGAAAAAATAATTAAAATTCATTATTTATTTAGTTATCTTACAGTTTTAAACTTAATTAATAATATGTAATTTTGAAACTTTAACTTAAGATTATTTTTTATAATTTATACATTTGCACATTCGAATCGCAGATGATTTCAAAGTTTTAAATTTATGAATTGAATATATTGATAAATAATAGGTTGGACGGTATTATGAATTTTATTTTTATTGATTAAATTTATTAAATAAAATTCTAACTCATTTTTTTTATCGTCATATCTTATTTAACTATCTTTATTGTTAAAATAAGTAATTTTATAGAGCCCTTGTTTGTAGGCTTCGCAACGGTTCGATTCGATCAAAATCATCACCAAATCACCAATTTTTTTGCCATACCATAACCCCACCATAATCACACAAGTCGTTTTTGGTTCGTTTCGGTTCGTATCTCGGTTCGGGGCGGTTAATAACCATGAAAATAAATTATTTTTCATAGACCCAGTCGTCAAATTTTAAAAAAAAATTATGAAAAAAAGTTACACATGATGGTTATCAACTGATAGTCGAGTGAATTATATTGAAGCACTTCAAATAATTTGCGTTGTTGATCACTTTCCAGATCAAATTTGCACAAAGAGTCGATAGAGGGTACATTTGTGAAAAAATCATTTGTAAATACCATATCCACACCCGCCTTGAACCAATTCATTAAAATCAAAAATCATATCCGGTTCATTGCACAACTGGTTCGATTTTTTCCGTCTCGTTCGATTCGGTTAACCGCAATTTTCTATTTTAACGACTCGAATTGCCATCCCTACCTGTTTGGGTTCCATTTTATCTACAGTTATATTTTTCTCTCATCTTTATCTAATCACTAGTCGCTATCACATGCGTTGGACGAATTTTGTATTTATCGTATTTTTATTAATGTATGAATTTTAGTTTTTTGGAAAGTTTTTGAAGCAATATCTAAAAATATTTTAATGATATAAAAAAATAATTGTAAATTATTTTTACAATTGTATAGCAGTATGTTATCTAAAAAAACATGCTTGTATATTTCATGTTTGAATAAGAAATATACAAACTATTTTGCTTGTATTTGTTGATAGTATTGATACGATTGAATTGAATGTGAATATTATATTTCTAAATTTTGTATAATTCAATATTGTAAAATTAAAAAAAAAACTCTCCGCACAGTGTGAAGAAAATTGAATCAAGTGTGGAGTAAAAATAAAAAATAAAAAAATGTGCGGAAAGAAAAAAATCTCTCCACGCAGTGTGGAGAGAGTTGAACCATGTGCGGAGAGTTGTTAAACTTTTCGTATAGTGCGGCGTAAAAATAAATAAATAAAATCTCCGCACAATGCAGAGAAATGACAAACCAACTCTCCGTATAGTACGGAGAGCAAAAAAAAAAACTCTCCGCACTATGCAAAGAGATTAACTCTCTCCACACAGTGCGGAGAGTTGGTCCGCACCATGACAAAACTCTCTGCACAGTGCGGAGAGAAAAAACTCTCCGCATAGTGCATTGAGAGTTGAACCATGTGCAGAGTAAAAAAAGTGTGGAAAGAAAAAAAACCTCTCCGCATAGTGCAAAGAGAGTTGAACCATGTGTGGAGAGTTGACAAACTTTTCACATAGTACGAAGTAAAAAAAAAAAAAAAAACTCTCCGCACAGTACAGAGAGAAAAAACTCTCCTCACAGTGCTGATAGTTGTTTTCAAATTCCTTAATTACAAGTCAAATTTCAAGATTGTAATTTTATTTATATATAACGAAACAGAGTCGAAAACACATGGCTCAAAATCAATTATATCTTCTTTAAATTTCAATTACAGCTCAATTTCTGAGTATGCAAATCATATTTACGGTATTGAAAAATAGTTTTTTCGTGATTCATACAATGAAACAATATGTGAGTTGTGTAAAGAATGAGATATTGATAGTACCATGTCATTGCTTTCACAAATGGAGGATCTAAGGTACCACCAAAATTCAATATTTTACACTTGATAACAGCTCTTGGACATTAGAAGCGGATGCAATTTTCAATGAAATTATACTTTTGGGTTGTAGGCCAGGAATTAAAGTGTTCAATGCATTGCTCAAAAGTTGTTTGAGAAAAGGTCTCTAGGAACTTACAGATAAAGTTTCGAGAGTTTTTATTTTTCTTTTCACATTGTGCGGAGAGATAGTTTACCATCTCTCCGCACTTTGAGGAGTCTATTTTTTGCTCATGTGCGGAGATTTTTTTGTCTCATGGAGTTTATAGATACTAAAATTATTAGTATTTTTTTATGTTGTTGGTATGATGCATGTGTGAAAAAATATTTGTCAATCACCATAAATAAAATTCTTCACAAAATGCAAAAAATAAAAATGCATAATAAATCTTTTTATTACGCTAATAAAATTACAATAGTTTTTTTTTTTTTACAAATAACATAAAAAAAATCATTTTTTATCTTCAACAAAAAAACACATTTAAAAATTAGCAATTTCATAACTACTTTCTTTTTAAATTCTTGAAAATACAATTATAAAAAAGAAAATAATATTGAATTACAACATTTAATACTTAAGAAATTCAATATTAAATAAATTTTATACATTTATAAAAAATTATAAATCCTTATATATAGCTTACCGTATTTGCAGGGAGCTTACCGTATATATTGCCTACCGTATTTGCAAACAACTTACCGTATTTGTAGCTTACCATATATGCTGCCCACCGTATTTGCAACTTACCCTATATGCTACATACTGTAACTTACTGTATTGTTATATACCAATTTTTACACTTACAAATACTGAGAATGCAAAACAATGTACATTCACTTATCAAATCGAATTTCAAAAAAAATTCCAAATTTTTATTTTTTCAACATAAGCATAAAATATATATTAAATATATATGAAACACAAAATATAAATGTATATGAATATGATGCTCAATCTTCAATTTTCCAATATTGAATTACACAAAATTTAGAAATATAATCTTCACATTCAACTCAATCATATTAATACTATCAAAGAAAACAAACAAAATAATTTGTATAATCTCGTATATTTCTTATTCAAGTATGAAATATACAAGTATATTTTTCTAGATGATACAATACTGTTATACAATTGTAAAAATAATTTACAATTATTTTCTTATATCATGGAAATATTTCTAGATATTACTTCAAAAACTTTCCAAAAAACTAAAATTCATACACTAATAAAAATACGATAAATGTAAAATTCGTGAAACATATGTGACAGTCAATGTGCGGAGAGTTTTTTTTTTATATATAAAAAACTTCGCACTGTACAGAGAGTTTGCCAACTCTCTGCACTGTGTGAAGTTTTTTTTTTTTTTGCTTTTTTTTTACTCCGCACTTTATGAGGATAGTGTCCGACAGAATGTCATATCTCCGCATTATGCAAAAATTTTTTTTTTTACTTCGCATTGTACGAGAGTTTGACAACTCTCTATACATGGTTTGCCATATCTCTGTACTATGCGGAGAGTTTTTTCTTCATTTTTTACTCCGCATATGGTTTTCCATCTCTTCGCACTTTGCGGAGAGTTTTTTTTTTTAAAACTCATGTGCGAAGATTTTTTTTTTTTTTTTTTACTCATGGCAGTTTATATTTACTAAAATTATTATTATTTTTTAATGCTAGTGACATGATGTGTGGAAGAACATTTATTTGACATAATTATTTTTTAATGCTAGTGGGATGATGTGTGAAAAAACATTTGTTTGACATAAACAAAATGAAAAATAAAAAATGACATTATGCATAATAAAATTAGATTCATTTACTATTACATGAATATTAGACCTCCTTCCCTTTTTTGTTAGAAGTTAGATATATTTTTTATTAAAATAATATTATAAATAAATTCAAAATTTTTTTCCTTTTATAATTATACATTTTTCATAAAAATCACTATTTAAATAGATTATCTTAAAAAACGTATTTTAATATTAATAGCTCAAACAATTCGAGAATTTGAACAAAAAGATAACATGGCTATGTAAATTCTTCCACAAGAAAAAGCTTATTTAGCTACCTAGCTTTCCGATCGGATCGTCTCTCAGCCCGCGCCGCCGACCCCCCGCCTGAGATTAATCCGCCGTCCTCCACCAAACTCAACACCGCCGCCGAAACGGTATGATTCTAATTGCTTCTTTTCTCATTATTTTCATTTTTTCATAAAATACAACTAACATTTCCTTCTTTCCAAGACATTTGATTTTTTATCGGGGTTTACTTTTTTTCTTACTCTAATTACATTCTCAAAATTAACATCTACTGATTTTTGTTATTCTATTCCATAATCTAATTACTTATTCAACTTTAAAATGTTGAAACGAGTTAAAGAACATTTGGTTAAGTAAGTTTAATTTTACGAGCGAAAAATGTAAGTTCTAGGTGCACATTTTAAGGGGACGAGACTTTAGCTTCATTAATTATTGAATTATCTGAATTCGATTAGCTTTAACACTATGGACATTTATAAAACTGCGGGGCGATTTGACTGTAGATGGCATCTCTGCCTGATTTGCCTCTGTAAATTAATCGGTCTTACTAAAATTTCTTGGTTACTACTTTTTTTTGAAAATTCTGATTATTTTGTTCTATTTTCTTGTTTGACATATGGTCAGTCTGTTTCCCCAATAATTGTACCTCTTTTAAACAGTAAATATAGCTTTAGTTTAGTGTGATCAGTTGGTTCTGGACTTCCTATGACTGTTGCTTGTTTGTCTGGTTTCCATTTTTGGGGGGTTTTTTAATGCGATTCTTGATATTCCTATTTTTTCCTTCATTGTGTTATTGCTGCTGATACCCCTATGCAGATAACTACAGCATTGTTCAAATTTGTCTATGTATATTACCTTCTATTTTATTCGTCTCCGTACCATCACATAACTTCAGACTGTACATGGTGGCATGTAATTGGAATCAGACCTCATTTCGATTAGGTTCTAATTATATGTGGAAGTAATTATGCTTCCATTTACCAATGGAAAAGGTCAATAGTTATTAAAGTGAACATTGAACATTATAGTAAGTAGTAGCTAATGAGAATACACTTATGGAAATTTTTTTCACTTTAGCTGACTTGTAGTTGATTGATGCTTTCATGTTGAAGATATCCATGAACTTTACTTGTGTGATTTAATACGCTAACAATGTGCCTTCGTACATGATTATTCAGGTTATAGGATTAGAATAAAGGAGATGGATGATGTGGTAACTGACCTTCCGCCACCATCAAGATTTTTGTTGGAAGATCTCAACAATTTCACTCCTCCATCTCAACCTCTTCCATCTCCATTCCTAGTGTTCTCAACTCTGGATTCCAATAAAAGCTTTCATCCATCACTTCTCATAGTTGCTATGTCTTCCCCATCTCTTCATTTTTTACACCACCTCTCCTTCAAAACTCTAATTGGCGCTCTTGTTCTTCCAGAGTTCGCTTTCTCTGGCAACACTGTGGAACCCTCACTTGGTGACAAATCATGCAATATATATGCCCTTAATCATTCTGATAAACTGATTATGATTGCTCTTGTTCAGTACTCTGTTACTGCAGAGAGATCCCATGAAGTGTCAAAGTTGCTGATTGGTGAACGCATCATACCTGAGAGGGTTTTGATTTTGGATTCTGTTCAAAGTCGTTACTTTCGTGGTAAACTTTCACCAGATGACATATTTGCAGTCAAGTTGGAGACATCATTGGAAAGAAAAAGTTCGGATACTGGAGATTCACCGCTGATAAAAGGGTTGGATTATTTCTCATCAGGAAGTGTGGTGGACGGCCTGGCTGCTGCTTTGTTGAGTCGATGTCAATTGAAGAAGATCAAAGGGACTCTCTGTGTTTCATGGCCTCATTTCGGTATTTCAGTGATGTCACTGATTAAGTCGCTGCTGCTGAAGGATGTTCTGGCTGGCATAAATCCTAGTAGTGATATGAATTTGGAGAGTGGGTATTTAAGTTTTAGTCGTAGGAAGGATCTTCATCTCGATTCTGAGTTGTATACTTGATCTGCTAGATTTTAGGTTTTTCCATAACAGACTTATATCTCATTTTTCTTGTTGTCTTCCAATTTTCTTTCTTCTTGTATTTTGAGAAAAGCTTGCCTTTAAACCCTTCATGTATACGGATAATAGTTTTGAGAATGCACTTGTTTCTGTTCCTTATTTTTGTTAGACATTTGTGACCACATCATCATTGTGGACTTCCATTGAAACCTCATTTCTTGATACCTTTGGCTCAAAGTGCAGAGAGTGAAGTATCTTTGTTAAACAAGCAGTCTCGGGAAGATGCTTTCTACGGGTTGAAAGTCTCGACGCTATTGAATGTAAAAGAATTTCTAACTCGTTTGAATGAGATTGTCACCTTGCGGAAAAATTTGCTGCTTGTGGTGAATTGCTATGATCTTCTTATGAACGGATCGACCTTTGGCCATTCCTGGACAAGATTTATTTCTTGATTTTCTTCAATAATCACATTACATAACATTTAAAGGATAATCAACCAATTTATTTAGGTGTTATGGGATCTGAAATTACAATAAAGTGAGATTAACTGTGGTAGTTAATCAAACAGGCCTTTAAGCATAGTTAATTAATTAAATAATTAGAAGACAATGCGACAATGCGTCCAACTAACGAACTCTTATTGTTATAAAGCAGTTGAGAAAACTTTAGTAAATCTGTTCATAAACTTTAGTCAATAATTTATTTTTTCATCAATTTGGATCCTTGTTAGACAAGAAACCAACCCAAAAGGGTTTTCTTTTGTGTAAATTACTTGAAATGTTGGAAGGGTGAAGCATCGCCTTTTATAAGGGCTGAATCAAATTATAGAGTTTTACGGGGATTAACCTTTACAAGTTCAGAAAAATATGAATGGTTTGGGTCTTATTTTTTGCCCAATTTTTAAGTTAGTACAGCACATTTATAGTTTCTTTTTGCCTTCGATTTATTTGGTAATTTTGGTTTGGGAGAACCCACCAACCAAGATCGAAGTAGTTACATCCTCTCTTGACTAGTGACATTTTTTGCATAATAATCTTCCATTTCGTGTCATTTATATAAACTAGGAATCTTCATCATTATGTCAAAAATCCGTTCATTGATCGATTGCTCTCACGTTCGTGTATTTGCTCATCTCTTTTGCTTGCAACTTGGAAAATTAATGGCTTCCTTTCTTCACTACAAACATATTGTTTTGCAAATATTAGTTCTTAGCATTGCTTGTTCATGTTTGCATGCAAGTGAACCTCCTTTGACATTAGATTACTACAAATCCACCTGCCCAACTGTTCTTGAGATTGTTAGGAAAGAAATGGAATGTGCAGTGCTGTCTGATCCGCGTAACGCTGCCTTGATTTTACGACTACATTTTCACGATTGCTTCGTCCAGGTCTTCATTCTCTTATTTTATTTCCACAAATCTTTCTTTATATAGATTGATATGCTATTGTACTATACAAGTTTTAGAAGATTCTGAGTTTTTTTTTTTAATCATATAATATTGGAGCTGCAGGGTTGCGATGGATCGGTTTTGCTGGAAGATACAATCACGCTTAAAGGAGAGAAGAAAGCACCAGAAAATAGAAATGCTTTGAAAGGATTCAGAATCATTGATAGGATCAAGAACCGGCTTGAATATGAGTGTCCCGAGAAGGTCTCTTGTGCTGATATTCTCACTATTGCTGCAAGAGATGCAGTTCTTCTGGTATAAGTTACCTAGATATGTCAGTAGCATCAGTTTATAATTTTGGGGAAAAAAATGATAATTTTGATAATAATAATATTTATTCTTGTGCATGCAGGTTGGTGGACCTTATTGGGATGTTCCCTTAGGCAGAAAGGACTCAAAAAAAGCAGGCTATGAGCTTGTAGAAACAAATCTTCCTAAAGCAAATGACGGACTTCTATCCATCATTTCGAAGTTTATTCATCAGGGTCTCTCCGTCACCGATATGGTAGCTCTTTCTGGTAGGCACCTCCCTATAACTCTCAAGACATTATTGGCATGTTTGGTAGTGACAATTCAATCGTATATAACAGTATCGAGATCTTGCGAGCAGGGACGGATTCAGGATCGGACTACAAGACGGGCTTAAAAAAAAAAAAAAAAATTCCTCTTCTAAACTTTTTTTTTAACAAAAAAGAATTAAATTGTCTGGTGACTGGATAGGGCTACAGCAGCTATACCCCCTATATTCGTCCCTACTTATGAGTCTTAGCGAGCACTGCATTTTAAACATACAGTATGATCATTCGTAAAATTATGTTTTCTAGGAATAATTTTCCCAATCAAAATCATTGCAAAGATGACAAAATTTCGATTTGTGATTTCTGAATAAAAACTCCGCCTTGTTGAAAACAATAATTTATAGCGAATAACAGTTTAATTTCAAGAATCATCAAAAATGATATTTATTTTGGTGAAATTCTTTTGCAGGTTCACATACCATTGGAATGGCACGATGTGTGAATTTCAGAGAAAGAATATATGGAGATTTCACAGCAACTTCAGGAATGAATCCAGTTTCACAGAGTTACCTCAACAGTTTAAAATCTGTTTGTTCAGCTGATAGTAAATCAAATCAAAATGAATCAGCACTGGACCATGTTACGCCAAATCTTTTCGACAATTCTTATTATGACATTCTGTTAAGAGGAGAGGGACTGATAAATTCAGACCAGGAATTGTATTCCAGTGTTTTAGCCGTTCAAACGAAGAAACTAGTGGAGAAATATGCAGTAAACGCAATTGCTTTCTTCGAGCAGTTCTCCAAATCCATGGTTAAATTGGGAAATATAACAAACCCGGAAACTTATGTCAATGGAGAAGTTCGGAAGAATTGCAGGTTTGTGAATACATAAGCATTACATACATATTACCAGACTGTTTATGTCAATAAGTAAGGCTAAAAATTTGAGCCCTCTATTGATTCATTTTGTATTCAAAAGCGAAGACTTTATGTATGCGTTAAGCACACGGTTTTTAGCCGTTGTGAAGTGATACTACAAATCGAAATACAAGTGTATTATTTCTTGTGTTCTTTGTTTTTGTTTTCGCTTGATTCAATTTGCAATTCTATGACAATTTCTTTGAACTCGATAAGTGAGTTCACACGTAAATTGTGTTGATACTGTTGTGTTTAGAAAAATTCATTCGTGCAGAATCACATTTAAAACCGAACACACAGAAAGCAAAAATAAGATGAGGGAACACAAGATTTTTTGGCCCAAAGGCCCCGAGGTTCGGCGATCAAATCTAACGCCTACATCCCCGTTGAGCATCCATCAGGAATAAGCTCAAATCCACTATGAACAACCCAAAAACGGGCAAAACAGTCTCAAGAACACACAGTTACAAAACTTCTCAAAAACGAAAGATCTTCTCACAACAATATTGAACTCACACAAGAGTTCATCTAAATTCCTAATTCTCTCTACCAAAATCACACAAGATCTAAAGAGAAAACGAATCAAAAGAGAAGACGAACGAGCCTCTAAAACTCAAAGCTGCTGGGTTAAAAAACTCTTAACCCTAATTACCCCCTTTCTTTCCTTTTATATGAGAGTAACAATTTATTGACATCCAACGGTCCACTTCTTGCCACTTGTCTTGAATCCGGAAGAGTTGTTATTTCATAACAAAAACGCATTTCTGTTTTGCACTTATAACAAACCGACCCTAGTTCTGGAAGTTTCTTCACAATTCTCTAACTATCGTTAGAGAGCTCTTAAGAGACCTTCTAGAAGGTCTCGCTTTACCTGAATACTATTTAAATAGTATTCAG